TCGCAATCTTTTCATAGAACCCCTTTAACAAGATTTAATTAAAATATCGTAATATGACATACAAAATAAAAATGTCAATAAAATATCATAACAAAATGCGTAATCCGCTAATAAAAATTGTCAAGCAACAAACAAAAGTAGAAACAAAACAAAAACTTATTTAAGAGAATTTATCCAAAGCATTATTAACAAAAAATGTTTCACCGGTTTTAAAGATTTATTTTTTTGTTAAAAACTTGAATGAACTTAACGAACTCACCGTACCTTTGAACTCTTTCTGAAAAATATTCCATACCTTTGGACCTCTATATAAAATGCTGTATTTTGAATATTTGTTGATGTTACAGAAGCTAAACCAAGATTATCAAGTCGTCAAACAAATAATGTTGCTTCTTGTTCAACTTCAGATTATTTCAAAAAATCATTATCTATTCCTCTTATTGATTACCTCCTAAGTGAAGTAAATTACAGATTTAGTTATGATGCTTTGGTTGCTTACGATGGCTTGGTTATTATTCCAGACAAATTGATTTCTTTTCTCTCTAAAAATATTGACTGGAAAATTAGTTTCCAATCTTATGTTAATTTTTATGCAACTGATTATGCTACTTCAAAAATATACATGTTGTTGTAAAGGAAAACTTGTTGAAGTCTATGAAGACTTATCATCGAGTAATTTGAGTGCAAAACTTGATTTGTTAGAAAGGCTTTTGGAAAATATTTGCTGACCAGATAACATTTCGAGTACTTTAAAAAGTCTTCCTATGTATTTGCAAATATCATAATTTGCCTTATTATAGATAATTTAAGAACATTAACTGTAACCTCTTCTTCTTGTCAAAAATTGTTTTCAGCTATGAGGCAATTAAAAAGTTACACACAAAGTACTGTATCATCTGAGAGATTGAACAATCTTGCTCTAATGTATATTTACAAAGAACTAGGAACCTAATGTAGAAAAAGTAATAGGCTTATTTGCACTTAAATCTCGGAGATTAAATTTAACAGATAAAATGTGTTAACCATTTAGTGTTTTTTATTTTTCTCAATAAACCAAGTTATATTTTCATATTTTAGTATATATTTTTATTTCTTTTTATTCAATTTTTTCCAAATAATGTGATTAATTTTGTCTAATTTAATTTTACTAACTTGCCCCAGTTCACTTTTCACTAGTTCATATATATATGTATATATATATATATATATATATATATATATATATATATATATATATATATATATATATATATATATATATATATATATATATATATATATATATATATATATATATATATACATATTTTTCAAATGATAGACTGCCTGCCCAAACCAAACCCTCAGTCGATGTAGCAGCACTCCCTTGCGAGTCAGGCTATTTGTCAGTCGATGTAGCAGCACTCTGTTGCGAGTCAGGCTATTTGTCAGTCGATGTAGCAGCACTCCGTTGCGAGTCAGGCTATTTGTCAGTCGATGTAGCAGCACTCCGTTGCGAGTCAGGCTATAAGATAGACATTTACGCATGTTTTAAAAATGTTTTTTAATAAAATAAAAACAAAAACATCACTAATAAAAAAAAAACTTTCTAGTCGTTATAATTGCGGTTTTTAAAAAAAATTTTTAAAAACAATAAAATTTAATGTACTTCCGCATCAATTTAATTGCTTTGACATTTCGACGACAATCAAATACAGCTTAAGAGACGAGGTAATTAAAATTGTAGTCGTAAGAGACTTTTTTTACATTAAAATGCTCTTAAAGCTACACTATATGGGTATATATATATATATATATATATATATATATATATATATATATATATATATATATATATATATATATATATATATATATATATATATATATATATATATATATATATATATATATATATATATATATATATATATATATATATATATATATATATATATATGTATGTATGTATGTATTTACTGTATCTTTTATATTTGAATTAAGACAATTACCGCCTCTTTATTCAAAGCATCCACCTAGTTTTTTTTTAATTTACAAGGAGATGGTGCATAAATTGATCCTCTTTTTTCAAATAGTTTTGTAAACAACTCATTTAATAGAAATATTGTCAAACGCGATGGCTTTCTTTATTTTGACCCACTTTATTATCTGACCGTCTACTCTCTTTCCCGCTTCCCCTCTCCTTTTTAAACGTACTCTCACCGCGCATCTACCTTCAACCTTTAATTTTCCGGATTCTTGACTAACCTCTTTAAAAAGCTAAACCCGTCCCTGAAACTTTCAATTTTTTTTTTAGTTTAGTTTACTTTTTAGCGTGGTGTTTCTTAAACCTATTTAACCCTTTGCTTTATACGGACAAAAAATTACTCCAACTTTAATAAATGTTTATTTACCACAATATCTTTTAAAGTAAAAATTTTCAGCGTATGCTTTTTATATTATTTTAAACATTTGATACTCTCTTAATTCTTTTAAATTACCTTTAAGAAAATTTTTGTTATTATAAATATCAATTACGTCATACCACGTGATGCAAACAATGAAAACTGAATAACGCATGACATTTTTCAAACTCTTTTCATACAACGAACAAATACCAACAAAAATTTTGCTTGCAAAATGTATGTGCACACAAAGGTACATCGTGGACAGCACTATAACACTAAATTAGTAAATATTGTTTACCAGTTTTGATTTTATTTGCAATGCTTTTATTGCATACGACGTGTTAAAACAAAATCATTGGATAATCTTTTTTTAAATGGAGTGTGATAGGTCAACTTTATTGTAGTTACGTGGCGTATATATATATATATATATATATATATATATATATATATATATATATATATATATATATATATATATATATATATATATATATATATATATATATATATATATATATATATATATATTATAATAGACTAAAATCTGATTGGAATCCCAAGACTAATCCTCGACTAAAATCTGATTGGAACTAGAGTTCACTCTCAATTTTACAACATAAATACATAGTTTAAAATAATTTTCAAAATTGCTATCTAACTTGAAAATCTTTGCCTCGACTACCCCTAAAAAAATGAAAGTAATTGATTTTTTGTGAAGTAATTACTCAAAATCTATTAGTCATTTTAACATGAAGTTTTGGAACATTTTTGGTAATATAATCTTGGTAATATAATTAAATTGAGATAAAATAAATGAAAACAAATGAATATTTTAGAAATTATGCATAAAACACTAAAAACAACATTAATATAACAAAATTTCAAGATGTAAAATGCATTGAAAAAAAATCTTTTCTCAAATGAGTTTTTATAATATGAAGAACAATCAGTAAAAGTTTCAGCACTTTTGCGTAATTATTTAAAAAGTTCTCATTTCGCAAACTTGGAAAACTAGTAAAAAAGTTTAAAAACTAGTGAATTTTGATATTTTCGATTAAAAATTAAAATTAAACAAAAGCATGAGAAAAGTTTATAATTTCAGGAATAAATGTAATAACTTAAAATCCTTCAGTTTCATATGATATTTTTTCAGTTTTCTTAACTTTTTTTGAGTATCCTTTTTTATTACTTTTTTTTTTTTTTTTTTTTTTTTTTTAAAATTGTCTTTTATTTCTTGAGGTACCTTGGGAATACCGATAAAGTACGTACACAGTTAAACCACTGTTTTTGGTCTTTTACCGCTTTTACGCAGTTTTATGTTTTCAACAACTCCTCCCTCTACGTACGTGAGGATTATTTTTTACAAAATTAACCCCTCTTTTCTCTTGATTATTTTAATTAAAAATTTTAATCAAGGTTTTACATTGTAAAGACTTTTTCTTCAAGACTGTCACTCCTCTGAAAAAAAGTCAAGATGTTAAAGATCAAACCATATTCTCAAAAAATAAAAACTCGCGAAATTCTACGCTGATGATGCCAAATAAGACAAATTTTTGGAACAAATTTTTAGTACAATGCTAGCATCTGTCTCAAAGAGCAATTGCTACTTCAGTAAATCAAAATTAATCAAGAACTGTTGTAATGTCACAGTTGGACAAGAACTCTTTTTGGATCATACAATGCTATCAGTTGAATTGTCTCTAGCATATGATGCCATCAACAAATTTTAACTGATTGAAAAGCATGAAGAGAGCAGCGATGGATCTAGTAATTTCTGGTGGGGTGGATGCCTACCCCATCACTTCTTCCTCCTCCCCTCCCTAGAATAGTCACTGGAAGAGCGTGTTTTAAATAGTAGGTTTTCTGTCATTTTAATTTTCAAAAAATATGTCTAATATTCTCTCAGTTTATGTTGTATTTGTGTTGGATAAATAATAATCTCTCAGTTTATGTTGTATTTGTGGTGGATAAATAATAATCTCTCGGTTTATGTTGTATTTGTGGTGGATAAATAATAATCTATCAGTTTATGTTGTATTTGTGGTGGATAAATAATAATCCCTCAGTTTATGTTGTATATACGTTGGATAAACCGCAATATTTGAAAGTGTGGTCAATGAAAAAGTGCTGAGAAATGATTTTAACAAAAATATAGCACGGACATTGAAAAATAATTTCAAAAGCGTAGCCAATCATATATATGCATAATTACATACGCTTTTAATTTTTAAATTTTAGTGTTGAAAAGAATTATTATTGTTGAAAAAAGTTCTTTTTAAAAGCAAGCTTGCTTAAAGTGGCGTTTAAAAACAAGCTTGCTTACTAGAGGCTACACCCTGGGCGTCATAAAAGTTTTTAATGGCTCTGAAAGTAAGTAACGAATTAATTTTGGTTGCATTAAAATGCGATAATTGCTTTTGCTAAAACTTGATATCACAAAATTTACCGCCTTTAAGGCGTTAAATTTTGTGAATAATAATAAGTATTAAGATATCGAATGAAAGTTTTAAAATAACAACTTTTCCACGCGAGAAAAGCAAAGTTTAAATTTTGTGCATACAGTTAAACAGAAAATATTGTAAACAAATTTGCGAATAATAAACACATCTGCCGCACGTTTAAGTAAATAACCAAGCTAGGTAAGGTAAGAGATTTTTATCTGATTTTTTTATTTACTCTGTTAATAAAATGTTGTCAATACATTTTTACTGAGATAATATTTAATTTAATAAACTTTAATGATACATTTTAAAATAATAAATTGTTAATAACAAATTAACATTTGTTTTCCATCCAAAATAAAGAAACTAATTATAAAATGTAAAGAATCTTTTAATAACAGAAAAAAGGTTGCAAATAATAAAATAATTAAAGCCGCATTGTTAGTATACATCTTTATAAACGATTAAAACAGATTGACAAAGAAACATATTATGAACTACTATTTTATAAGATATAAATAAAAATCCATGAGTTTTTATCTAAAGATTTTTTTGTACATTTAAAAAAGTACCTTTTTTTTTATAATTTTTTAAAAGCTAAACGCGAATTACAATATATATTTACATACAAATGCCGTGGTTTGGATCTTTTGGTTCTGCAACACGGCACATTGGTCATCGTTCTTAGTCAAAACAAAACGAAAGATCCGAATTTTTTTCTTTTTTTTCTTTTAAAGTTCACTCCCAACATGGCTGAAAGCAATAACGATTATTTTGAAAATTACATAAAAACAAAGAAGAGAGTTACAGAGCAAGGTAACGGTTGAGAAAAGCTTGAAAAATTGCAGGTTTTATGAGTCAGAAAAACATGAAGATAGTAAAAAGTTTCTAAGAGTTAAATTGTGGTAAAAAAAACTGAACTAATAGAAGTTTTTTAAACATGCAGGGACATACACAATAAAAAGTTGTGAGTTTTAAATTAGAGATGATAGCTTATTTGAGCAGCGACAATAGTAGTATTTTTAAAAAAGAGAAAAAGATCCAACCTTCCGACAATCGGAGAGATCCTCCAGGTTAGCATGTAAAGCAGGTCCAACTATGTTTTCAAAGTGCTTTTGAACACTGTCTAAAAAAGAAAGAGCTTCATTAAAGGAACAAGCCCTTGTTTCCTTGGTAATAACTCAGTTATTACCTGAAAACAAATATTGACAGCAATATTTGTTTCCAGGTAATAACTGAGTTTTGTGGGAGCTAAAATTCACAAGTCACTGTAAGTCCCAATGTGTTATAGAAATTAAATTCATTGAGTGTTTGATCTTTTTTTATATGAAAACAAAACCCGAATAATACCTAATTTAGGTCCTATAGGTTTAATGGTTATTGTGGTGTTAACGTTTTTACAGAATATAGAAATAAAAAACCCTAATATAGCTACTAGTCATACAAGTAAACCATCTATTGTCGAACTTGTTTTTTTGATTAAAATTACCAATAAGAAACATTTCCTCGAATTCGAAAATATTTGCCTATTCTAGATATATTTGCGAGATTGGTATGGATTGCAGAGCTGCCTTATCATAGAGCAGCGCGAAAGAGCATTAAGCTAGGAAGTGAAGTTCTCTCTTAAATAAATTTCCTCTGTACTACGGTACAAAACCGTTGGGCCTTCTTAGACCTTTTCCACCAAAAAAAAAAAAAAAACCCCGTGAAAAAAATCGTGAATCATTAACTTTTTGAAATTCGCGCGATTTTCCTCTGTAATATGTTCAATAAAATTCGTTTAATTTTCGAAAAATTTCGAGTAATTTTCGAAATAATTTCGCAGAATTTTTACTTAAAATTAAGCTTAGTTTTTATAATATAATAAAATTTCGTTTAATTTTTATTATAAATTAAACTCATAATGAACTCTTAAATTCAAGTAAGTTTATTTGTATAGTTGAATTTTGTTTATTGTTCAAAATACAACCTTATTAAATATCTCTGAAAATTAGTTAATTAGTTAATAAAAAGTTAATTATAAGTAATAAATTAATAAAATATAATAATAAATACAATTCATTTTATATTAAAATGTTTCCTCATTGCTTCATAAATCATGTTCAGCAAAAGTTTATGATACAAGAAGTTCTTGTATCATAAATTTTTCTTTTGCTATAAAAGGTAGTTTATAGTTCTTAAAGAAAAAGAAAAAGTTTTTATTCTTAAAGAAAGAGCACTATAAGAATATATTCACTAAACTATATTCACTGAACTATAAAAAATTGTCTAGAGTTAAAATATTAAGTTACTAAATTATATTTTCTTAAGTTAGCATAGAAATTGATTTTTGTATTATTAAATCAGATGCTACAAATTGTGGAATTAATGGCACTATTGTCTGAGCTGTTTGATTCATTGTTAACTATCCTTTCTTAGTATTTATATAGTTCATAGTAGCAACATTTACACTTTTAAATAAACATATGCCTTATAAATACTAATAACATTAAACTTTAATTTATCAGGTGTAAACAAAGTTTTGTTTACACCTGCTAAATTAAGTTTATGAGGTGTAAACAAAATTTTGTTTACACCTGCTAAATTAAAGTTTATTGTTATTAGAAGTACTTTTAAGGCAAATGTTCCTTTAAAAGCATAAATGTTGCTACTATGCAATACTCATACTTTTAAAACTATGTTGTAGCCAGTTCGATGATTCAGAAATTATTACACAGATAAATAAGCAAATTTTTTAAAAAAACAAACAAACAATAAAACTTACTTTAATGTTTAAAGTAAGCTTTTTTTTTTTTTGCTAAAAAAACTTTCTTGACTTTTTTTACACCTGCTAACTCTAATATAGCAGTAACAAGCATCTTCAGAACAAATAAAAAAAAATAAATAGTTGAAGTATGAAGTATGTTCAAAGGTGTAAAGGTTTAAAAAATTCGAGCTTAAATGGTCTTTTTGCAGATGTTTCATTGCCAGATTTGCTTTTTTTCTAAATAAAATGAATTCTTTTTTTATAAATGCATACTGTCAATTAAATCATGCTTGACAATTGATATTTTTGAATAACCATTTGTTGACCACATAAACAAATTTTTTAAAATCTAACTTAGCAAAAAATTAAACTAAAGTTTGTTGAGCCACAAATTCACAATTTTAAATAGGTTCAAGATGCATTGTTTACAGGTCCACCCATTTTCAATTATTGATTACTAGGGTTACTATATGTCCAGATTTTTCAAACGAAAAAACAGTGCTGAACCTAAAAAAATCAACATTTTCACTGCACTCAATCAATCCTTGTAAAACCCGGACATCTGGTAAGCCTTTTGGTTAGGAAAAAAGATTATTACACAAAAAAAGATTACTTGGCTTTTCAGGGTCTTCACAAAAAGTATTATATCAAGTCATCAGACTTGCAATATTTTTGTGGTTTAACTAAAAGTTGAGTTATTGCTTAGACTGATAATTAGTTAAATGGCTTTGTTGATGGCTTTGATCTCAAAGCCAAAGCTCGATATCGTTGACAAATCTTCACATCACATAACATTAGGAGTAAACTTTTCAATATAATTTTGCAATAATGTATTGCTATACTGTTAACATTTCTATATTAATGAATGGCAACCCTCTTAATAAGTTCTCTTTATGTCTTCTTAGATTATCGTTTGCTACTGACCTCTCATAGAGATCTATTATACAATTGATTGCTAAATTAGCATCTGCTAAGGTTGCTTCTCTTTATTATGCTCACCATTTTCTTGCTACTGATCATATTCTCTATTTCTACAAATCTCTTATTTATCCCTTTATGGAATACTGTTGTCATTGGTACTGAAAGAAGCTATTATCTTAAGTTCCATCAACTAAAACTCATTCTTGCTTGACTCTTCATTCAGCAAAGCCTCATTCTTTTACTGTCACTGTCCCTGGATGCTCTGAAAAACTTCCTAGCTCTAACATTCTTTTTTTTCCCCTATGAACTCCCAACATATTAGTGGTTGCTTGCAGCCTTGTTTTATATTGTTTATATATATATATATATATATATATATATATATATATATATATATATATATATATATATATATATATATATATATATATATATATATATATATATATACTTCTATAAATTGTTGGCTTTGAGAGTACAGAAGGTGAATAATAATTTTTTTGACAACAAAATACGTCACTTTTAATTACTTTTGACTTTAATTCAACATTTCTCTGTTGTCATAAAGTTAAAGCCATTAATTTAATCATTTTTTTTAAAAACTGCAAAAACGCAAATTTAATTGACCAGAATGTTTTTAAAAACATATATATATATATATATATATATATATATATATATATATATATATATATATGTATATATATATATATATATATATATATATATATATATATATATATATATATATATATATATATATATATATATCAACCCTCTGAATTAGGGTCAGCATTCGGCAATGTCGATCTAACTGCCGACCTGAAAGTAATTGAGGTGGACAAAAATTTGCCGGCCTTGTTTTTATGTTTTATGGTATTACCTTTGTTTCAAATAACTTTTGCTGACTTGATGCCGACCTCTAAAAGATTGAGGTTGGCAAATTATTGCTGACCTCATTTTTCCTAATTCTGAGGGTTGATATATATATATATATATATATATATATATATATATATATATATATATATATATATATATTCATGTCCTGCTGCCTTGTAGGATACGCTTTTTTAGGCAAAGTCTAGGAGAAGTTAACTCCGAATTAAAACACCCCCTGCCTTGGGGCTCTTGGTTGAGTAAAGGCTAGAGATGGTGTCTCAATAAAAATTCTCATCTTGGGCAGATGTTAAATGCATCCGGCTACTGTCTTGTAGAAGGCCTCCTAGGCAAAGAATTAAGGGGTAAACAGATTTTATCTGTTGACCAGTCTCGCACCCCTTCTTCATCTATTAGGCTGGCGCAGATGTATTTTTAATACATTGTTTCCAGTTTAGGATGTTGAACGCTGGATCTTCTTGACTTAATGCGTGGGTATTGCTTGTGTCTCTATTTTTATGACTGGGCAACTCATTCTATTATCTCCTAATGAGGGTACAGCTTTAAAACTCCGTTTTATGGTTCTGAGGCCGGCTGGTAGTCAGGTTTCTCGAACTCTGTGGTAGCTCTCAGAGAGGCTGATTCCATCAACAGCCG